TTTATTGAGGGTCATGTAACTAATAATGATAATGATTAGTGTAGCACTCCGGTCCTTAAGACAATATTGGTTCTTTGTAAAATTGTTGCTTCACTCTGTCTATAGAGTCAAATCACACATACTTAATGAACGGGAATATATATTTATGCATAAAAAACAGTGATATTTTGGTAAAATCATAACCATTGTCAAAATATCCATCAAATTCTATCTGTTTATTGACCTATGGTTGGTAGACCATATAAGGTAATGTTGCCTCCTCTGGACTTGTGAAATAAAGAGGTTTATTCCATATTTGGGATGGAAATTAACGTCAAGGCTAATCTAAGACGTGCAGAAATTAGGGGGTTATAAAAGAGGGTGTTGAGCGAGACTGGGCAGAGCTCACCCAGAGGAACCTTCAAAGCCATTACAGCTTAACAATAAAGTTGTAAGAACCATTTAACCTATAGTGTTATATATTACGATCACGAAGAAAACAAACACAACAAGGAAAGAAGTCCGATAGTACTACATTAGTGGAATCTTTGTAATCACTGTGGGTATTGAGACGCCCACTGATATTTGTTTTAAAACATTAACACATGGAGGTCGAACCCTGTCATAAAAGCAGTACATGTTTTTTTATTTTTTTTTAGAAAGTATAAAATTTACCAGTATGCACTGAGAGTCTAGGGTGGGTTGGATGGTGTAGTTGTCTAGAGTGTCGAGTTTCAAGCTCTAGTTAGCGCCTCCCTGGTGTGAGCGCATGTGGCTTGGAGAAAGGGGCGCTTTCTCCACCTCATGGGTTTACTTTAGGTTTTCCAGTTTCCTCCCACAAGAAAGACCCTCTGTGTTGTCTAAGATAATGAAAATGAGACAACGTGTCTGTGATATCACCTTTGGTGGAAGCGAATGTTAAACACTAAGAAACAACAACAACCGAGTGTCTGGCGAGAAAGAGCATCAGGTTGCTCATATCCACATGAAATCCATATAAACTTTAGTGTGCAGGCAGTTCGAATGCGATGAACAGTAAACAGCAACGCCCACTATCACGGACAAATTTTCTCTTAGCACACTGCATGGCGTTAACCCCTCTTCATTAGTCCAGTCGGTGCAGAATAGTAGGACCTTAAACCCCATTTTATTTCAATCCATTTGCGCATTTAATTATTTATCAACACGGTTCAAAGGTTAAAGATAAACTTGGCCAAGTTGACTGACAGTTAATTAAAACAGGGAGATTGATATTTCAAACCCAGTAACCATGGCAAACAGGTCAAAGTTCAGCAGACTTAAGCGTGTTATTGGGCTGTTATAATTAATCACCCTGCTGGGAGTGTCTCTATTCATAGCTCAAGGGGGTTAAAGACAGATCTAGATTCATGAATACAGAGCTTACTAACAGCTGCCAATGGATTCAACTGTAGTTTTTAAGGGCTCCAGATGTCAGCCATTCTGGACATTTTATGTTACAGAATGTTTCATCACGTAAATCATTACTGGGTTTCCTGTTATTGATATGTTATATATTGTTGTCAGGTCGCTAACGGTAACTGAATTTATTAATCTTCTTCAAATTATTTAAAGCTGTATTATGTAAGATTTAGATAAAGAGCTGACAGTTCTCACTATCTTGAAAATTTCAGTCAAAATTTAGGACTGTTTGAATAAAAGCAGAGTCTCGATTGTCATTGCTACCATTGATACGATGGTAAACAAAGCCTTGATAAACCATTTTTTAAATTAAATCATTAAACGCAATCATGTTTAAATGATTTGAAAATCTACAGCATCCGATGGCATCGAGAAGTGATTATGGTCTTGGCAAGTTAATTAATAATTTATATAACATTTTAGGCCTAAAGAAAGATCTGCAATAGGCAAATTAGCTCTTGCATAATGCGTCTTTAATTACATGTATATGTGTGTCTTTCAAAAATTGCTTGTTTAAACATCAAATTATTTTTCGGTTCCATATAGATTTATCATTTTTGTTGAGAGAGAGAGAGAGAGATAAATGGAGTTTAACATTGAGTCAACACGAACCAGGTCATCTTGAAACCAATACAACAGGGGAGCTTAAGCTTAGCTTTGTAGATTTTCTATGGGCACTTTTGATTTATCCCACTTCCAAATACGAACACTCCCCCATACCCCCCACTTTTCTTGCCTCTCTAGCTAGCGAACAGGTAGATTTTGCTCATAGTGTAAACAACCAATGGCAACCAATAATCACGGTTGAGATTCATATCATTTGGACAAATGGTGCATTTTCAATCCCACCCTTGTACATGATAAGATGTAGGATCATTTGCTGAACTCGTTGGTTATCTCCGGGTCTTCCTAGAGTCACCCCACTGCTCTCTCTATCACTCTTATCTATTAGTATTATTACCTAAATGATTAATGACATTGTCATTCATCAGTGATTGCTTGACTCTTAATGAATGGGGTCAGAGTTTTGACATTCAAAGGAAAATGACTCAATTCAAACAGTACATTAATAGTTAATTCAGGCATGCAAGTTAAACTGGTTTAACGCAAAGATGTGTCAAATAAACCAGTTTGAAACACCCAAGCATTGGAACGGATATAGGGCATATTGTCGGTGATATCACCACCACCCTGGAAGCAGAAGTTTAACACGAACGTGAAAGCACTGAACCATCCGTGATAATACCTTGGTCAAAGCAGATGCAAAAATTAAACCCATTGCACACACAGCATCTAAAGTCATTTGTGTTTTGGATATCTGTGAGTTGCTGGATTAAACCAGCATTTTATTCAAGAGAAGATTAGTATTTATATAAAATGAAATGGGGTTTAACGTCCTACAGTGACTGGGATTAATATTTATTATTTATCATTTTGAAAAGCTTAAGTGAATGGGATGCCGTAACAAGCAAAAATGCTTATATAAAACTGTTTTCATTGTTGGTTTTGGTGTTTAAGATGATATTGCGGACAAATTGTCTTATTGTAGTATATTTAGTCCATGCTCAGAGGTTGTTGCTGTGGTAGGAATCTGGGGTATCTGGAGTAAACCCATAAGGTTGAGAGGTTAATGTCATCTTATAATATGTGAAATCATCAAATAAAACCTAATTATGGATCCCTTGCCAACTATCAGAACATTTAGACATTGTAGGCTATTGCATAACAACTATTAACAGTAGGCAATATTAGTTACCCATTTAAACTGAGTTATATAACATATTAATAACCATTTAAACTGTGTTATATAACAATATTAATTACCATTTAAACTGAGTTATATAACATATTAATAACCATTTAAACTGTGTTATATAACAATATTAATTACCATTTAAACTGAGTTATATAATTTATTTAACACATTCTTATTGTGCTAGAGATTAGGTCAAGTTTTACAGGCTTACCAATAGAGGACTAGATCTATTGTAGGTCTACTTCAGATCATGCTTTTGTTCGTGATGGCAAAAGATATAATAAATTGGATTTGAGTTGGCAATTAAATGAACAAAAGATGTCACACTCTCCTGAGCTTTAATTAAAACTCTATTCAAGTGATTCAGACCTGAATAGGGTCGGTAGATAAAGCCTACCAATCGCAGCTGTAAGAACCAAACAATGGGAATATTTTTGAAGCGGGAATATTTGTTAAATTTCTCGTTCACAAACTATACAGTACATCCGGGGATAAGGTTTTGTAAGATCTGATAATTTTCTTTTGTTGATTCATAGTCAGGGAAACAGATGAAATGATGCGTACGGCCTGTGATAAGGTTTTAATATGTTTACCTTTTTTTCTGATGATTCATTAACACAATATATTGATTGATTTATTAGGTTCATTCTACATTTCACAATATTTCTTATAATAATAATAATAATAATAGTGTATATCTATAATGCACAAATTTCCATACACTTAGGCTGACCTTAAAAATATCTTTGTTTCACCAAACCCGACCCACAATCGAGGAGAAGGGTCGGTAGGTCGGGGTTTTTTTCAGATTTTTTTTTAGCTTGATAATTTTCCGGGTGCAAACATTCGTCTTCTTTTATTGTCAAACAAATCAATGACATCGGGATTTTTCGTGATGCACGACTCGCACACGAATTGCCAGAAACTGACGTTTGAAACTCCCTCAACACGTTTTTTAACGATCGTGCGGGTTGTGCCTTCATTTTTCTCGAAAACGGATCTTTTAATAGCGGTTGGATATTTACTCAGTGCGACTTGCTATCCCCGCAGCAGTATTTTGAATAGTTTGTAGTTTTGAAAGTAAGTTGCGATGCTGTTGCAGTAATCAAATCTAGAAAATACTAGTGATATTCCAAGCATGTGAGCAGAGTCTTTTGACAGGAAATGTCTGATACTGCCAATAGCTCTCAAATGAAAGAACATATCTTGCACAAGTGATTAACATGTTTTTCCATTGTTAGATTGGAATCTAGGAATACATCAAGATTTGTGTTTGTATATCAGGGTCCGCAATGGTCACTGTAGATGAATCAATTTTCTGTAGGTTCTTTTTCGTACCGACAAGCATGATTTCAGTCTTGTCGTCATTTAATTTTAACAAACATCTATTGATTTGTTTATGCTATCTATAAATGATCCACAACATCAAGTGAATGGTTGGTAGCGTGTCTGATAAATTATCCACAGAATCCAATGAATGGTTGTTGGAGTGTTTGATAAATTGTCCACAGAATCGAGTGAATGGTTGATAGCGTGTCTGATAAATTATCCACAGAATCGAGTGAATCGTTGATAGCGTGTCTGATAAATTATCCACAGAATCGAATGAATGGTTGATAGCATGTCTGATAAATTATCCACGACATCGAGTGAATCATTTATAAGGTTTTTGAAAAAGCATCTGTAAATTATCGAGTGAGTGGTTGCTAAGGTTTCTGTATCTGTAAATTTATCATGGCATCAAGTGCATTTTTGATATCATGTCTGAAAATTATCTGTAAATAATCCATGGCATCGATTGAAAAGTTCTTTCTGTCTATTTCAGTAAGCTGCCCTCATGATGCCCGTCATGATGAAACCAGAGCCTAGGGACGAACCACTAGTGCAGCAGCCAGTACCACAACCAGTTATACAGTCAACAGCCAGTGTTCCAACAGCTACTCCTTTAAGCCAGATAAATGTAGCAGCAACACAGCCCCATACGAGTAGTCAGTCTTCGCCGTTACAAGAAGCTGTTGAAAAAGACTCTGAGGAAGATATTGAAAATCGCATAGATGTAGAAAGTATAAAGGGTGTGTTTGGATGGGCGACTGTGGATGGGGTCAATATCCCATATATCATTAGGAAATATAAAAAGTTTGTGTCGGTTAGAATTGTGGAGAAAAAATTGTTAAGTAGGTACCCTAATGCATTTCCAGATGAACTAGCCAAAAAAGACCCCCTTGTGAGCTTCTTTGTCACAGAATATGAAGCTAAATTACTTAATGAAATAAACACAATCCACTGTAGTTTTGAATATGGCAACCAAGCGTTCACAACCAAAGAATTAATTGTTGACCTTGTGGAATTTGAGGATTTCTATAATCTTGTGAAAAAGACCTTTCCTGATGAAGTACTTGCAAAACTACGATCTGGTGATGAGCAGGCACCAGAAAATAAATCTGCAGGATCTACTCCAAGTAGGGAAGTGTTAGAAAAAGTCTGTTCATGGATACAGATTAACAATACTGTGACTCCAGTCATCAAACGAAAAGACATGACTTTTGTGCCCTTGTCAGTTATAAAATATGCTGCTGGACTACTTACAAATGTTCAGTTGGACGGTATTCAACCATCACCTGATGACTGTGCATTTCTAAATGAAACTTGTAAGATTGCAGGGTTTGACTTTCAGTTTGGCAAAAGTACCAAATTGATTGAACTCTCTGAAATAGCAAGACATTGCCAACCAACAATACTTCAGCTCCCTTTCGAAGATCCTTTGAAGCATGCTCGTTACTTAGACACACCTTCACCATCAGCTCAACCCCCATCTCCATCAACAACTCACCATTCTTCACCACCATCACAAACTAATGTTCAAAATCCTACTCTACCAAATCCGCAATTTACATACCAAAGACCTAATGTTCCTGTAAATCCTTTTGCAATGATGCAAATGATGACAAGATCATTGGTACCCCAGCAGTTGGCCTACTCTCAACCAGGTGTCATGCCAAATGCTATGGCCAATCAAGCAATAATGCAGCGAATGTCATACAATCCTCGTTTGGCTGGTGGTAATGTTAATCCTCATCCTCATAGTCCATATAATCAGGCCCAGCAACAAATTAATAATGGAAAGCTTCCATACCCGCCTCCTCCATATAATCCACAACAGGGTAATCTTCCGAATAATCCAACAAGGAGAGAGTTTCCACAGGAGCATATGCACTTACAACAAAACCAAGCACATAATCAAATTTATCCCAGACAAGGTGTCCCTCCTAACCAAGGATACCCATATCAAGCACACAACCCAAGGGTTCTTCCTCCAAATTCACCGCCATATCAGTCTCCAAAACCTACAGGGAGAGCACCGGTTATGGGTAGCAGTGCACGATCCATTAACCCAGAACAACGGCCCCCAGCAGCTGCTTCAAGTAAGAATGTTGATCAGTCTTTTAAGGCAAATATTCAGAGTGCAAACAGATCCAATATTCAACCGGAAAACACTATTGTTACTTCAAAACCAAGTAGCAGCAATCATTTAAAGATAGAAGGTGTAGTATTGAATGGCAAAAGCATATCATGTTTGAATTTAAACTCTACGGGGAGACAAGGAAAGTTTTGCTTAGTGGAAGCCGTATGCAAACTTTACTTTTCTCAGTGTAACATAAACGAATTTTTATATGTTTTACAAAAAGTTTTGAATGTCCCTTTGTACTCTTGTAAAGATGAAGAGGAGAAGTCATTTATTCAATATTATAATCTTCCAGTTAATGTGCTAAAATGTAACAAAATGGTCAAACTGTCTGACCTAGACAATTTCTTCCCACACATGAGTTATATTATAAATCAGACATCATCTGATAGTGCTTCATCAAGTTCTTCAAATCGCGAAAATGCAGGTCAAACCGCAAATCCGCAATCAATGGGTGGTGTGAACCTTCCACCAGAAGGTGGAACTACTGCTTCCAGAAAGCGAGCATCATCTGGACAAGGCGGACCAGAAAGTAAACAGTCTTGTAAACTTGAGCAGATCATGCAAAGGCTGGCCCAAACTAGAAATCAAACGGCAGATGCTTCAGCCTCAATACCGGGTCTCACAGACTGATTCAAAGACCATAGGGTTTGACAGGTCCTCTTGAATTCACATTGTATAGTCACATTCTTTCTGTGTTTCCCAGAGGAACTCAAAGAAGCTTTTCTCTTAACCAAATGTCCAGAGATGATCTGGGTGTCAAAATATGATGGTTTACAAATGTAGATAATAAAGATCATATATAATGTAGATGGAAGTTGTAAGGATACCGTTCTAGTGATTGTTGAACATAAATAAGACTTTATTTATTTCCGAAAAAAAAACAACCGAATATCCAAACGAACATGTGAACATGATCATGACACTATAATTCTTATGTGACTTCGAAATCAAGCAATGAATACCAGTGGCATTTATTTTCCCTCACTCATGACAACCAAGATTTACATGTATAGTCTTTTATAGTCCAGTCTTTTACGTTTTGTTTACCGAGGCCAGTAAAGTTGGTAATGTTTACCAGCTGTAAAATCAAATGTTAGAATACTCCAGACCGTTTGTTTTGTATATCGCCACTGTTTTATTGTTTAGAATAATGTATTTTGTGTAATATATGCATTTATTGGGGAAATACTATCTGTAATAGCCATATCTCATTTTTTTGCGTATAGATTTTAATACATATACTTGTACAGTTTAGCCCCAGTAAAGGTATTTTTCACCTGATTTTGACGTAAATTGAAAATGATTATATTATTTTTTTTGTATAATTTTTGGTTGTAAATACTTGAAATGTATCTTTGTAATTGCCCGCACTTGTTAGTTAAGTCACCTGTATAATATTGGATTTTGTTATTATAAGTAATGAAGTAAGTTTCAATTAAAATATATTGCAATACTTACGACATAAAGGTCATCAGTTTTCTGGAAAAACCTTCCATTAAAAGTACATTTGTATAAGATATCTCCCAGATTCTTTATGTTTATAAAGTATATTTACCATCAAATACGGATCCATGTCCGAATGCATGCAATCTATTATGAAAAACTGAATTGATAGATAATATATTTGTGATGTGAAGGGCGGTTGGAAGTGCCGAATGATCCAACACGCGTTTTTGACACAATGGTGTTTTACATGTTAAAACCATGACGAATCCGCACATTGTTGATTATATTAGCCATGTGGAAAAAAAAACGCTTCAGTTGAGTTTCTGAACAGGACACTCAATGTCTCAGTACATGAATCCATGCCCCGATTTGACAAAGCATTCTCAGACTTAATTCACCCAACTTCCAATCACTGATTATGAGAAATATTTTGGTCCCAGAAACACAAAAAGTTACTCATAGTTTTTATACGCCCACATTTTCATGTGGACGTATTATGCCGTCGCCCCTGTCCGTCCGTCCACAATTGTTTGTGGACACTCTACAGGTCACAATTCTTATCCGATTTTGACGAAACTTGAAATATAGGTTTATCTCCAAAATATCTCGGCTGCTTTCGATATTGGCATGTATCGGATCGAAACTTCATGGATTATGGCCCCTGTTTGTACGAAAAATCATGTTTTTAGCTTGTGGACACTATAGAGGTCACAATTTTTATCCGATTTTGTTGAAACTTGAAATGTAAGTTGATAACCCAAAGATCTTGGTTCCTTTCGATATTCGCGCATATCGGACCGTAACTTCCTGAATTATGGCCCCTGATTGTACAAAAAATCACGTTTTTAGCTTGTGGACCCTATAGAGGTCATAATTTTCATCCGATTTAAAAACCCATTTTATTATATCACCATTACACCCTAAGGACGAGTGAGTTCGAATTTCATGAAAATCGGCCCAAAATTGACAGACAAAATGGCCGCCGTTCGTTCTCAAATAGCGTAAAAATAGGGTATATCAAGGTTGTGGACCCTATAGAGGTCACAATTTTTATCCGATTTTGTTGAAACTTGAAATGTAAGTTTATAACCCAAAGATCTCGGTTCCTTTCGACATTCGCGCATATCGGACCGTAACTTCCTGAATTATGGCCCCTGATTGTACGAAAAATCATGTTTTTAGCTTGTGGACCCATTAGAGGTCATAATTTTTATCCAATTTAAAAAAAACCGTATCATTATATTACCGTTCCACCCTAAGGACTGTTGAGTTTGAATTTTGTGAAAATCGCCCCAAAATTGACAGTCAAAATGGCCGCCGTTCGTTCTCAATTAGCGTAAAAATATGGTATATCAAGGTTGTGGACCCTATAGAGGTCACAATTTTTATCCGATTTTGTTGAAACTTGAAATGTAAGTTTATAATCCAAAGATCTCGGTTCCTTTCGATATTCGTGCATATCGGACCGTAACGTTCTGAATTATGGCCCCTGATTGTACGAAAAATCGCTTTCTTTTTAGCTTGTTCTCTATCCATCTCTTGAAAATGTGGGCGTATCCTGCCTGGCAGCCGCTGGTTTTATTGATGATTTGACACGTTAAAACAACAAAGAAACTATAAAGGGCTCTGTTTTAGTTAAAATAAGGCGAAGAATTTTGAGAAAATTCTTCACTTCAGTCTGAAAATGTTTTGTGAAACGGGGCCCATATTAATTCCTACACAATATATATTAGTAATATTAATTTGATAAATAAAATATATGATTAAACTTGGAATGCTTTAGAACATTCTTACAGACAAAAGATTCACAAACGGCCCCAGAAGTGGAAACGTTTATGATAACACGGTGTTATCCAAGGACTGACTATACAGGACTATTGGTCATCAGAAATCCGGGGCCGTCAAAATCTGGGAATTTTCTTAACATTGTAAAAGAGTCATCTAGCCCAAGGACCACACATAGTATGGTTGATCTTCAGAAAGCAAGGAAATTAAATGACATGGGGTTTAATGTGAAAGCAGAGACACCCGTCAAAATCTGGATTTATATATTATACACATGACATCATTGTAAAAGAGTCCTCTGGTGCCGAAAAGAAAAGTGGGACGTTAAACCAAATTTTATTTCATTTATAAAAGAATTCATTATAAATCATAGGCCTAGCCTGTTTCCCCAATCCATTTGTAAAAGAATCCATTATAAAACATAGGCCTAGTTTGTACCCCCACCCATTTTCAAATATACTGAAATATTGTTTTAAAAGAAAGAACAGAAAAAACCCTTCTTATTCCCAAACATTAAGCGATGGACACACTGGTCGATTCATTCGTCCGAATCAATCGGCGCCGAATTGCAGCCGAATGAGTGGGCACACTCGGCGAGTTCTTCGACGGATTCACCAGTCGGTGCGTCACCTTTCAAACAATCATGTGACTTCTCGGCATCAATGGTGATTGGCTAATGAATTAAAAAAATCGGGGAACCGAACATACCAGGTAAGAAGAAAGTTGAATATTGAGATCAAGTACGTAGCCTGTTTACGCACCTGTCCTGTTTGAACAAGAACATATTTGAGATTTTTTGCTGGATATCTATGAAACAATTCAACAGTTACACTTCCTTTCTACAAAAGGCATCTTAGTACAAATTCCCTTCTGTCGACCAGAACCTCCGACTTGAGACACTGTTGATGGGTGTGGTTCTTTGGTGCCTGTAATTTAACCTTCGGTTGACTTAAGAACACTCGTCGATATTTGGACATATCCTGTAATTCGTAGCGTGCAAAGACGATGAGACGGTAAGCGACAGCTCCGAGCAGCCATTTCAGTGGGGCACCAAATCAAATTGGATTTTTTTTTTTTCATTAAATTACCACTGTTACAATGTTGTACAAGCTGTCCTGTCTTCCATTCTCATATTCCTGAGCACATGTACTAGGCCCTACACTCAAATCTTGGGTGGCATACATAACCAATCTCTGTACGCTACCTAACCCTACACTCGAGTCTTGGTGGTATATAATCCAGCGATTGGCCCCATGCACCACCAAACCTACGTACGCCACCTGGCCCTCTACTTGAATCTTGGTGGTATATAATCCAAGGATTGGTCCCATGCACCACTAAACCTCTGTACGCCACCCCGCCCTATACTTGAATCTTGAGGGCATATAATTAATGATTTAGCTCAAGGCATCACCGAACTTCTGTACTTAAGTCTTTGGGGTATATATTCAATGAGTTAGCTCCAGGCATCACCGAACCTATGCTCGCCACTGGCTACAGTCGACTGACATTTAATAACGTTGTTGTTTATTACAGATTTAACGTCCAAGACATTAAATATGATATTATGGACAGGTTGAATAATTTAATTAAATTATTTGCACTTAACGGGTTGAAAATTGGTAAAAGCACAAAATAAAAAAAAAAACCTTGTATATCAAAAAGTCCTCTTAAAACAGACTTATAAAATCCCTGTCGTGAGAAGAGAGAGCGGGTCATCTTCTCACTTTGTCGTAATAAAAACAGGCTAAAACAGAAGGTCCAGCTGACTGATGTTTGGCGTCATCAGTGCGGATAGAAAAAAACCCGTGGAAAAAAGAATCCGCTTGCTTTATGTGGAAAGGCGAAGTGCTTGCGGTAAAACACCACATAGCTGAACCCGTGGATTATTTGCATATTGAAAACTGTTCGTCCAATAAGTTCCATATAGATAAGAGACCAATGAAGCGGTTCATAACTTAGCGTTTAAAACACGGTATTAAACAAGTTATATTAAATTGATTGATATTCACTCTCAATAACCCCGTTTACATTACAAATGTTAAGCCTACCAGGTACGGCACGCTTCGCTTTCTTGTAGTGTAAACGGGTCAAACGTAATCTGGCCCACTGAAGTGAGGTGGTCTCGGAACGGTACCAGGACCGGCTCGCTTTAAATTTTCGTAGTGTAAACGCTAACCGGTCTGAGCACGGATTACTTTACTACGCATGCGCCAAATGAACCTTGACCTTTTTCCCCCGCTAACTTTGACAGCTCTGTCATCAGTTCTGTCAAAATGGCTGCTCAAACTAAATTAACCATCATAATTGTTTTCATCTGGGTAATTTGTATAGGGACTGAAATTAACTTTTCTGTGAAGAGTTCCACATTTAGCGTGCTTGGCATGGTTCTGAGACCGGTTATTTTAGAGTAATGTAAACGGGTCAATTTCTTGAAATTTATCGCGGCCTGGTACCGTGCCCAGAACGGCACGCTTATCGCGGCCAAGTGTAAACGAGGCTATTGTTAACAATGGCTGTGTAGGTCTCTCGTTATCCATTTAATAACGGGTAACACACTAAATGAGATACTTTCCAGTCCATATTGATTATCAATCCGATTATAATTCTCATCTAAAATTAGTTTTGTTATTTTATTTCTTCCAATTGTCTCCTCTCCACTCCAGATCAATCAATCCATCAATCAATCAATCATTTCCTACAGAATTTGTATAGCGCAAACTCTACTTCAGATACGCTTTATTGTTGATACCCATCAAGTAGACTTGAAGATGTCTAGACGTTTTGATTCTATAATGTCTACGGGTGGATAATTCAATAGAAAAGGTGCTGTCAAGTGAAGCTACCTGACTAGAGCCGTGTCTAGCATCTCGAGGGATTGTGGATGAATTAGATTCCTATATATACATAATTAACCAATGTGACTGGTAACAAAATACTAAACTGGCATCACATTGGCAAACCTTGACTGAATGACGTAAATTATGTAGATTGACTATCCAAACTCAAGTACAATCTGTTTCACAGAGATCTTCTAATATGTCTGTAACAGATGACTGTTTCGACACGTGACGTCACATCACGCGGCGTCAATCATTGGCTCAATAGCGCATGCATTGTTTACATAATACGTTACTGATTCGGGCTAAATGGTGAATTTTATTTATTTTAATACCCATTTACACAAAATAGGAAATTATATTTACCTACAAACAATTCAAACGTCTTTTTATATTTTTCTAATAAATGAAAAAAATGTTTTAGAATTTAATTTGACGGAAGACAAAAGTTAATATTTGGAACTCATTAAGTCGCATCGATGTCATCCTTATCAGTGATCGTAGCGGCCTAGCGAAAATTCACTTCTGATCAGTGTGATTCAAGTACGTACCTCGCCCAGTACTCGACTAAACAGTTCATGGTATTAGCTAATCGCCATCATCAACCAGCGCGCGGTTTATTTAAAACCCGCCAAGATAACGCTGTAAAATGAAATGAAATTGGGCTTACCGTCCAACTGTTCTGCACCGACTGGGCTAATGAACACGGGCATATGCCACACAGTGCTCTAAGAGGGAAATTGGGCCCGGACTACGATCTACTGCGGGGCTTATGTCGACCTTACAACTGAGAGCAACTGGCTTCAACTGAGAGCAGCTGGCTTCAACTGAACGCAACTGAAAGGGTCGATCTTGGGTGCTTCTTAAATCTAGTTGCTTTTACCACTAGCGTCAACTCGTTTCAATGGAAATAACACCCTGTGACAAGCGACGTGTCATGTGACTTTATAAATACATAGGCAAAATGGACGCGACCAAACGCATCTACCTTTCAAATGTCGATGGTGTCGACATTATTGTAGTGATGTGGAAAGACCGACCATGCCTTTGCGGTGCTTCTGCTAAGGTATTCACCATTTCGTTGATCACCTGATACATAAACAGCCACGTGTTAAATGTAATCGCTATCAGTTCCGGGGCCCTTATTCACGAAAACTTTAACTAAGATAGAATCGAAATTTTAAGAAATACTGCAATTCGATTGGCTGACCAGTAAAATCAATTTGCATATTGGTCAGCCAATCGAATTGCAGTATTTCTTAAAATTTCGATTGTATCTTAGTTTAAGTTTTCGAGAATAAGTGCCCGGGTCGATATGAGCGCTCCGAATTCAATTCTTCTTTGTTGCCCCCAGTTGCAAAGTCGACATAAGCCCCGCTTATAAATAATTCCAGGGTTTTTTTTACGTGCACACCAACGTGTACACGGGTTTAAATTACAACATCTGTGTTTTAATCAATTCGAGACGCACATGTGAAATTTAAATAACATGTCTACATGTTTCATAAATAAAACATATTATATTACAAGCGTGGGTCAAATTATAGATTATTGATTTCTGTTTAACCTACCGGAGCCTTTTTTATCAACATAATTTAAACATACACTATGCAAGAGCTAAATCTGCCTATTGCAGGCCTTTCTTTAGGCCTGAAATGTTATCTAAATTATTAATTAGACATTAATTAAAGTAGCTAAGTCTCTAACTCAATATCATCCAAAATCTTCAACATTGCACCAAATCAAACGGCGTATGTAGATTGGAATAACCAGACGCTAGAAATTTGCACTCGCTTGAGACTGCTGGCTTATTTCACCGAACACAACTGATTTGAAATTGGAGTAAAAACGGAAACCATTGAATGTAAATCAGTTTATATACATTCATACTACAGTATTATATGCGTTGCGACCCACTTTTGTCAATTTCTAGGTCCCAAATGTTAGCGATTTAGCTCCTTTAACATATCCAGACCATAATCAACTCTCGATGGCATCGCTAGTCTGCGATGTTTATTAGATTAGATTCCGATTTCCTGTTCGACTTCCATTCATAATTTAATTATGAAATGGATAGTCGAGACTATGTTGTTTTTTTATTGTACTGACTTATTAATGGTGATCGAGACTAGGCTGAAAATTT